TTTTTTCTGAACTTCGGCGTGGCTGACAGGTTTCTCAAGAAAGCTGTCGCTCGTAAAGTTTTCATCGCCTCGATATCAAAAGCGGATACCTCTTTTGTTTGCATTTTTAGACCGAGCTTGCATTTACAATGTTTGTGTTATCGCGCTCTCTTCTTCCGCAAATTTATTGAATATACAAAGCTGCTAGAGTCTAAGCCATTAGCGCAATAAGAGCTATTACCAGATACACGAAAAGCAGAAAATTAAAAAGTAAACTATTATTCATAAGCCGTAAAACATCGTGAAACGAGGCTGCCATAGCGCCGATAAGCATATTTCATCACGGCGTAGCAACTTTTGTATTTTGTTCTAAATGCAAATAACTGTTAAGCTGAAAGCAAATGAACACGAGCCTGGTTTTGTGTCTTGGGGGATGGTTTTTTATGGTTTTCATTGTGAGAAAGTTTAACGGCTTGTAGTTACTGGTAAAATAAAACTAAAACAATTAAAGAAAGGAAGACTTACAATAGCTGAAAAGCGGCCATAGTGCGCAGTGGCTTCCATGCGGAAACATCGTTAAGTTCTTTTAGAGTAAGGGGACACATTAAAATAAAAAAGCCAACACTGTAATGGTTAACAACAACGGGTACGTAACTTAGAAAACAACATTAGAAGTAGCAGGATGTTGAAATCATTCAAACGCACAATATACGTTTGATGTGTGTTGCTGTACTCACCCTTGCAAATTTGGAGGAGTAAGGGTCATCAAATGTTTTCCATATTCTCTTTTTGAGCGTTTGCCAAGGGTATCGCACGCGCGGAGCCGTTATTCGACGCACGTCGTGGCAAATTTCACTGCCACTGCTCGGGATTTCGATATCTCCAGAACCACTGTCGATATCATCTTCAAAGTCTGAATCCTGATCATCGTCTCGTGAAAATCCTTGTAATTTCTCTTCGGCGTCTCGATGTTCGTCGTATTTCGCCCAACAACACGTTTCGATCTGTTTTTCATCCAGACCCCAGAAGTTAAGCTCCTCCTCAAACAGTGGGCCACACACATCTCTTGGACAGTGGAGCTTTCCTGTGCGGTAAAAGTTTAGAATGTGTGTAAAAACCGCGGGATTCCGATCAAAGAAAAATTCGCGCTTTTGTCCAAGCGGCCTTGGATCCTTTAGAGCTCGTTCAGCTATCCATGCCAGGCGCGTATCAGGTATACTAGCTAACGTGCTCACAAATGTTTCGTGTTTTTGTCCTCCCACGTTTAAATAGAGCCTTGTTTCTCCCGGATTGTCTGAATCGAAGAGTCGAGACCGCGATCGAGACATTATTAGAGGAGAAGAACTTGTATGTTGCCAGGCAGAACAAGCAGCGATGTTCGGCGGCGGCGAGGCAGTTTCCGCGGCAGAGTTATCTGCGATGTCCGAATGCGCGTGTTCTTGAATCCTATTGGGGCACGAATGTTAAAATTCAGTTCCACTAGAAGTAAGTTTGTAACTGATATTTATCTATGGGTCAATATCTGCCAGTTCTGAACACGAGTTTTACCTGTTCTAAAGTGCTATGTCACTTTTGGTTTTTGGTTATTTGACTTCATATCACAGCAACTCTACCGACTGCATGGGAAACGTGCTGGCGAGCTCTGTTACCCTGGGGCAATAAGGCATCTCTCGCTCATTTGACGCTAAATCAATCCGCAAACACTCGCCGAGTAAACACATAAATCCCTTTTCTTTCAAACAGACACCCCGAGGGCTCGTTAGCCGTGTTTAACATGCTCTCCCGGTGGCAACATTTTCAAGTTATTTCTCTTTTCTTCTAACGCAAGTAAAGGGTAATGAGCCTTTAAGCTAGTTTTAAAGTGCTGCCATTATAATTCTCTTACCACGCAACGACAAAATAAAATTTGACGTTTTTATCGTTCTCGCTGTCACGTTGGTGTTGCTGATTCAAACGACACTTTGTAGCTCGCATCCACAGCGGAAACCGACAAGAGTGTTGTGTCTACCTTGATGCCTTTTAAATTGATCGTCCTTTTGTTCGCTTGTAAAATAATGTTTTGATCCTGAACAGAAAAACAGCAAACTGCCGAGGAAAGACTCAGGTAAACCAAAGGAGAACAAGAGAAGCGCGGCTATCAAGCGTTTCGTAAACATCATTTTATATTCTTCGAAAAAAACAATATAAATGACATCATCTCTGTTTAATTAATTCGTTAGAGAAAAGTATGCAATTATGTTTCTATAAAGCTCGTCACTCAAGAGAACGAGACAAATGGTAGCTCGGTCGCTAAATATGCTGGCTTTTCTCGTTCATTAGGTAGCGATCAATCTGCTCAGGATCTGCTCGATGTGTTGTTGTGTTTTGTCGCTGTATACTTAGACTTCTTGAAGCCGTGTAATCAAGCCAAGCCGACTATTCCATGATAGCTTATTTGCTCTTTGCTGTTCCTTTGAGTGACCGCGTGGGTCAATTACCTTCCACTGAATTTACTTAAAAATTTAAAATATTTGTAGAGTATTTTCAAGAGTTCAATAGAGTCAGTTGAAATTACCAGTATTATACTTCCCCTAAACTGTTGCTCATTGATTAAACGTCTGTCGCAAACAGAAAAAAAAACCACTTACATAGCTATCCTGTGAGCTCCTTTCTTTCGTTTGGACACAAACGACATTTCTTTTTATCCTGGCCAGTCAGCGCTCGGGTCAGCGGGACTTGCAATCAGTGGCCAGGCTACTATCGACACGATCCGAGTTTTGCCGAAGAAAAACTTAATCGGCAAAATCTGAAAGGATCTCCGCTCGAGTTGTAGAATTCAGTATCTTCATTGTCCCGCCAGCGCACGTATTCTGCGTTGACAAGACTAATGATCCAAAATAGCAATAGTAGCTTCATTACTAAGGACTCAGTATTTCAAGGTGATGACTGAGAAGCCAAGGTAACTGAGAAAGCTCATTGGACATTCAATTTGTAATGCTTCTTCAGTCAGGCCAAAATATAAACACTCAGTTATTTCCTATGCCTTAGGGGTCAATACCTGACATTATCAACCACGGCTCAGGATACGGACGATATTTATTTTCGGGTTACTTGTGCGATAAGATTTTCAGAATTTGAACGGCACCGAGTAGATTACATAGATCTACATACGATTTCTGAGAACTCAGTCCAAGAAACGCCTTGTTAATGTAATTAAGTGAACGTCTCTTTCCTTGACCTCGTGTCAAAACAGTATTAGTGTCCTGTGTAAAATTACGGACGTTATTTTTGATGTAATCCTAAAGAAACTTGTTGGTCTTGTCGATAATGCGTCAAACCCTTTGCAAGAAAAATTCGTCTTTCGGTAGAATTTAATTTATTTCGTCTCGCTAGCTAAACTGATTGAAATTTTACGTGATGTTATGATAACCTTAGGTGTAAACAAATTGGATAACCAACTGAACACAAAACCGCAATTTATTCCAGAAAGGAGCAAAAAAAAAAAAAAAAAAAAAAAANTATCGACTTAAACAGAAAGAATACTGAGAACACTGAAAAGAAAAGAAAATCAGCCGCCTGTTACACATCGCACTGCATGACTATAATACTGAGCTTAGAAAAGCCCAATACGGGAGAAAACTACATGTTCTAAAATGGTTAGAGATTTCATGCAAACAAGTGAGAAGGGCAAACTAAAAGAGTCCATCAATGTAACAGGGGAAATACATTGTCTCGTGCACTCCAAATTTTCAAAACTGTGACTATTAATAATATGAACATTCTACAAGAGTGTTCGGAGAAGTAACCATAAAAATTTAACCATAGTACAAAAACAGAAGTCTGCTGTTAGCAGAGCTCTCTATTTCTTTGCAAACCTGAAGAAAAAGGTTTTATATAGTTATGTCGAAGAGCATCCCCTCTTCCTTTCACTGTGAGAACTGTAGTTGCAGAGTGGCGCTGGAACTGACTCATCGCTCTGAAACTGGCTCGGATTAACTCGGTGACTGAAGGAGGAGGAAAGGTTAATCCGTAAGAACAATTCGAGTGTGGATTGCTGAGCAGACTGTTTTGACACCGTAAAGCGCCAGTTAAAAACTGCAGTTATTTGCTCTTAGGTGTTATAAATTGTTCCAAAAATCGAGTACTCAGTGAAAAACGGCGGAAAGCAGCCTTAGTGAATCGATAGCAGTTTTCCAACTTCTTGTATTAAATTGACCAATTCTGGAGTTTGATTTCGGGTCTTAATGTGCTTAAAGTTGAAACATTGAACTGGAGACACTCAATAGGAAACCGCACGCGAAGTCAAATGGGAATCTCTTCCATTTGACTAAGCGAAGAAAGCCAAGAGGACCCTACATATAACATATGTAGAGCACAGCGCTCGGTTGAAATCTATTCACGCTCTCAAGTGCGCGTAAAATTTAGTCAGACCCCGATAATCACTATACCTTCTATACGTGACCATACTTTACCTTGCATTAACGCGGAATGATCTCTTTGTCGACTTCTTGCCGTGACAGTGGTGGTACATGTTGACTGTAGAACTGATATGATGCGATCTGGTAAAATGTAGGAGAACAGATCGAGTTAAAAGGAAAATGATAACAATCTTATTATACGGCTGCAAACGTAACGTCACTCTAAAACTGACATCAAAATATCATTTCTTATCTACCTTATCAACTGAAACGTCCAGCGCGCTTTCAATAAACTTGTCAGCTAAATTCTCCATATTTTTGGCCATAAAATGGCGGTTATCGCGTACAGTTTCAGTTGCAAAATTAACATTTTATAGCAATCACTTAAGAGAATCTTTTTTTTTTTTATTATGATCGATAATGTTTTTAAATTCTGGTTCTAACGTCCAATCATCAACGTGATCCGCGTTCGGCTACGTGTCAGATATATGAGCCGTAACGAGAAATTATATGTAAATCACGTTAAGCAATTAAAGGGTGAAGTAAAACTGTTGACCTCTACTAAATTATCCTGTGCAGGAATGACAAAATTAACATTGTTACGAGATCAATGCGAGGAGCAGACTTTAGTTCAATTGTCATTGATGCAGACAAAGGAATGTTTTTAATGACGGAAGAGAATTTTCCTTCTTCGAGACCTCCAGTAAACTCCATCACTTTTTGAATTCTCATATTCGGATTCAACTGCTGTTACAGAAAACGCGAATGTCGGTGTAAGCGTGGTTTTCCCGGCTGTAGTCTAGGCAAACGAAAACACAGATTGTAATTGCCTAACTAAAAACATACGTCATAAACGAGTTAATCGCTTGGTCAGTGCAAACGGTAATCCAGCTGTGTTCGGCAACAGATTGAAGAGAACTCCGGAAGTGAAAAAATAAAAACAAAAATAAAATAATGTGCAGCCTTTTTTTTTCGCGGTGATGAAAATTTGAACCTTGTCTGACTTCAAGTCTTGCAGTCCTTTATTGCTGCTGCCGGCAATACGCTGTGACAAAAACCCGCATTTGCTGGATAACATTAAACCCTTAGTATCATGACATGAAATGTTTCTGTTGTAGACATTTAGTCTTCCTCCGCCGTCATGTCAGTAAGTAACAGGTCTATAACAGGGACCAATGTTTTTCATTCAACAACGCAAAAGTAGATCCATCGCCACTGATTTGTTTATTTATTTTTATCTGAGTGAAAGTGGTATACTTGGCACTGGGTGCAATTCTCCAATGTGGTTTAAATTACGTTGCGTTTGGCATCTAGCGTTATATGGTTAGATTCTCGCTCGCTAGGCCATTCGTAGTGTTCTTTTTGTTTGTCATTTGTTGTAATAGATACGTTTCTCCATTCTATTCTGTAGATAATTAAAGAAGGGCAGTCACTGATAGCTGTTCACCACTATTACCAGCATGCCTCGCCGATCGGCACAATGCCCCGCCTCGCGCTCAGTATCGCATGGGATAATAACAGCAGCAAAACACAACATGAGCAATAATAACAATAGCAACAACAACAAAAATAACAACAACAAATCATTAATGATAATAACAGCAGCAAAACACAACAGGAGCAACAACAACAACAAAAACAACAAGAGAAATAACTTTTACAGTTTGCACTTAAGTTGCTAATGTCCGCCAAAATGAATCACGTAAGAGATGTCTTTTATTCTTTAAAAACAAAACCAGTTACCTTGTTTACTCGGTGAGAGCGTTCGGTAGTCCAGAATCACCCGTTCCTTGTTTCTATCACCAAGTTTCTCAAGATGAGCCACTTGCCTGCCAAGGGGTACGTAATTCTTGAGAATTGATATTGCCGGATAACTCCTCAGAAATGAATGTGAAGCTGTGCTGGCTACGTGCTAAGTTTGTGCCCAGGAATAAAAAAAATCTCCTTTTTTTAAGTGCGACAGCTGAAAGCAAGGTCACTATGGTAATTTAAACCAAGCGCAAGGCACGACAAACAATTTGGAATTCTGAGCAGAAATTCCAGGAGAGTAGCTGTATCTGAGCAGAACTTTCCGACAAAAATTCTGTGAGTTGAATTCCTCGCAGAATTAGAGCTGTATCTAAGCAGAATTTTACATTCTATCATCGGAATAGTTGTATCTAAAAATGGTATCAAGAAATGGTCTATTGGAGCGGTTAGTCGGCCCTGAAGTTCTGAGGTCTATTCCCGAAGCTTGGCGGGAAAGCTTGTGATCTTTAGGAAAAAGTCGGCAGTACAAATTAGCTACCTTAGAGAGTGGGAAGTGTAATTTTTGCTACCCATGACATAGGCATATCATAGCATAACAGCATAATAGCATAAGCGATATGATAAAAGGAGGAAAATGTTTTTTCGCAGTATCAGGGGAATTTATTGAGATGATCGAAAACAAGAGATGATGGTTATTCTCTCTTGCCGAAACTGAATAAACCACTTCTGTTAGAGCTAAGGGACCGTTCATTTTTTATAAGGTAGGGGTTGCTGGTGGGATTTAGGGGAGGGGCCATGCCAAAAATTGGCTCTAAAGGGAGGCCGGCTGAAAATTATGGTGTTTAAAGGGAGGGCTATTCAAAATATTACCTTATTGATGGCTTCCGTAGTGCCTGCTTTTGTCTATTTTCACTTGAATATAGGTATTGTAAGACAGTATCTGTAATAGTGCAAAAGTTCTGCCAGAACACCTAAAATAGCGTTCCTGGGCCCCTGAAAAATCAAGATTTTCCGGGGGAGCATGCCCCCGGACTCCACTACTAGGCCTAAAGTTCTTGAAAATACAATTTTCTCCTTGAGAGCATACCCTGTAAATACACTCAACTCACCTTCACTAACGACCATACAACTCCTTTTCATAAAACAGTCAAGACAATGTCAGCTCTGATCTAGGTGCTCTTTGTCTATTTTTATGTCTAAAAAACTAGCTAAAACTGGTACAGTTTCAAAAACTGCTCAACTGGCTTGAAACTGGTATAATTTGTTCTCCTATGTTTTTCAGACTGCAACAATTTTATTTTAATTTTTAATTTTCATTGGGGTCATCCTAAAAATTTAGGGTTATGAGGGGGGAGGGGGGGGGGGCAGGTAAAAAAGGTTATGATGAAGAGGGGCGGTGATTATGTGCAACAGGGACTATTTATCAAATCCCATCAGCCCTTCCCCTCCCTCCGTGCCCCATTTAAAAAAAACGAACGGCCTCTAAAAAGACGCAAACGCGTTGAGATATATCTGTGAATGAATCGCAATGTGAAGGAGGAAGGCCATGGAAACTGATCAAGTAGAACGAACAAAATAGCTTGAGTATGTGAGCCAGTGGATATTTTCAGCAAAGGGAATAAGCATTGAATTTAAGATTTCTCCTGACAAAGAAATCTTAGCCCAAAAAAGCCACTTAGAGTGGAGGCGCTCTGGGGACGAGTCGTCATAATTCTAGGCGCCTGCGATCTGATTAAACAGCGATCTTATCCTTCCAGATACCAGTCTTACTCATCTATCAGTATCAGCTAGTGCCCGGCAACTGCGATTTTTAGAAGGTAGAGCTGCCATATACAATACCAACAACAGTAACTCTTGAAGCGGAAAGCGCATTCTTTACCAATAGTGGCAGAAGCCAATATTCAATTGCGTCACGCTATTGTATTTCGGGATTCGTTCGCAGCCGGTTCGAAGTCGTGCAAAGAACTTCACAGCTATCAGCGCGCGAAGTACTCAGCTGTTTTTCCATTCTCCTTGGAAGATGTGGCCGTGGAAATCTTCAAATCATTATCCAGAATACAAGGTGCGTTCAGATAGTCCAGCCTGTGTTTTGTCTATTTATTTATCAGTATTATTTATTTTTGGGCGGGCTTACTCAGCCCACCGCAACCAAAGCATGCATCCTCGCCAATGATTACTTGTAACGGCCGACACGAATGGCTCAATGGCACGACTTACTCCACTTCGCCCCCACTTGTGATCTGTCAGAGTCGATTTGTGAAAAAAATAATGTACTGGATGCGTAGTTCGTAATGCTATGTAGTTGAATTAGCGAGATTCGATCGTTCGTCATTCCATTCTGGTCCTTTGACCTTGCTGCATGTTTGAAATAAGATTACAAGCTTAATGCAAGTTTAGTAAAATAGCAGATAAACTTATTAGAAGCTCACTGAGTAGCAAGAACGCTTCAGTTTTATGTTTTGTTTAAATTATTCTCCATTGGTCAAAACAATTGATCGGTGGCATCTACAGCTTATTTTCATTGACAAATTTCTCACTCTCAGAAGAATTTTAAGAGATTGGTTTTTTAAGAGATTTTTCTAGTATCTATTTTGCAATTTCAGAATAACAGTTTCCATCTCGACTACAGCTTTCAAACTTCACTCTCCAAAACACAAGTGATATGGCGCTGTAAATTAATGCATCAAACAGCTGCCTCCCTTAAAAAGTATGATTAGTCAGCTTCAAATTGCAGCTCTCATTAACACAAAAGATTTAAAACAAGCTTTTTTACTTGAGATAACTGTTTACAGATGGCTGACATATTAGCTCTCACTTGGAATATGTTCTTAGCAATAAATTTCAAACAACCCTAAAATTCAATTGTTTCAGGGGAAATCATTACTTTAGAGACAAACTAATGGATATCTTTTAATTTTTATGCAGAAAAATTAAAGTTTTACATGGACAATAGCTGAGAATAACTTTGTCTTCTATACACTGTTATATAATATAACGTGATTGCCCTGAATTGACCATTTCAGTCTGAGGCATGAAATGAAAAGTTAGAAATTACTGCTGCTGTACATTTCGATCCTGTCAGTTCTGAGAAAATGATAATCAGTCAGCTTATCCCTTTGTTCTTCATGGTATTCTTCCAGAAGTTCTTTATTAAAATTGCTAAAACATAATAAGCAAACTTTGAGTGTGATTTAATGAAACATTTGCAATGTCACATGAAGAACTGCTCAGTAGCATATAAATCCTGACCATAAAATCCATTTGTTATTGTTACTTATATCAAACTGCATCAGTTTTAAACTAATGTACATGTAAAATTATGCAGCTTCCTGGTCTCATCCATACTTGTTAACTTGTTCAGTTGTTATTTAGAGCACATTTAATTACAAGACTGATTGGCCATGCTTACAATTCCTCTGCTTTCTCCTAACTCCTGTAACACTTAAATGTCTTAATCCAATATATTTATTCAGACAGATGTTAAAGTAACTTTGATCGTGGAAATAACAGGTCCAAGAAGATTCATGTGTATACCATAAATCCACGAATTAGCGCCCGGTGCGCTTAATACATCATCTGCACGTAAACAACAACATAAGCTGCTTATCGACCTAAAAAGCTAATCTTAAACTTTAAATCATGATCATGGCACTGTTAGTACTTGTAATTTTTTTTCCAAATGTAACGTGTTCACAAACTGAAACAATGCACAAATCTAATACTACACGATGAAAACTATACATCCTTTGTTGTCTCATTACTTGTCCACAAAATGGGAGAAGGTGAGGGGGGGTGCTTATTTGACGGGGGGGGGGCTTATTTTAAAGTTTGGCCAATAAGAGGGGTGCTTATTCGAAGGGGGCACTCATTCGAGGGGGGCCCTAATTCAAGGATTTACGGTACTTACTAAAATGCAGGGATTCCGAGTTTGATACTCAGAACTGAGTTGTTGAAATGGTAGATAATACTATCCACTTTATTATCCACCTTGGTAGTAATCTACAATAGTGGATAATGTTATCCACTCTTTGAACCCAGACTGTTATATTTTTTCGGCTGTTCACAGTTAGAGTGTATTATGCACCCTCAAACAAAGGACACATATGGGGTAATTTTTTAAATTCTTACACTGATCTCCACTTTGACAAATTATCTTAATTTTGTTTTCAGCATGCATCAGATAATTCTAAGTATTACCCCCATCCTCACCTTGGGCTCCAAGTGTCACGCCGGATGATGCAGCTCATGATTGGATGCCTGTGCTTTGGTGTATTATTGATCTTAGTCAATATCTATCAGCTGCGGAGTTTGAATGTTGGGCTGTCTGTGGGTGACCCAGAGTTTGGTAGTTCAAGTAGACCCGTTGTTTGGATGAATGCCAAGAATGTAAGAGAACAAATAATTTCATGTGGTACTGATAAAACTGCAGTTACATCTATAGACAATACCGGTAGTTTGTTTTTTATTCAAGACCACTTTTGTGCAAGGACACTATAAATCATTATAGTTCACCACTAAATTTTCTCCAATTAGAACTTAGTTAAATTGTAGGCTTATGTATAGCCTACATGATAACCTTCAATGTGTCTGACAATCACTTGGGCCCAGATAGCATGTTTTGACCAAACATGTTTTTTGGTATGGTTTGTAAGGTCATAAATGGAGCATTTATTACAAATAATTTGTAGACTTTGTTCAAGTACACCATCAGGTGTTAGCAATAATTTCTAAAGTTAACTTTCATATTTTTTTTAACTCACTGACAGCTAAGATCTGGCTATTTGAAGCATGTGATGGCAGTGTTTAGTCGTATTGGTTACACCAGGACAGAGGCACGGAGTCGCTTGTTTGATGTGATGTGGACCCATGATTACCCGTTTGGTGGAGATCTGAAAGAAATGCTGCAAACTTTAGAACCTCATCAAAAGGTTAGAATGCACCTACCCTCCTCAACTACCCTCGTCACCCCTACCCTCCCCACCTATGCTCCCCTCGCCTACCCTTCTCACCCCCACACTCTTCACATACCCCCTTCCTCACCTACTACCCTTTTCACCTACCCTCCCCACCTTTACCGTCCTCACCCTTACCTACCTCACCCACCCTCCTCAGCCCTACCCTCCTAAACCTACATGTACCCTCGTCATCCCTCCCCACTCCACCACAACATTTGCCTGGAATGTGCTAGAAATTCTTCAATTTTGTTAAGTTTTCTCATTATTACTTGTTTGTTGAGCATTGCTATTTGTTGATTTAGGCAATGAGTCTACTTGTATGTCTGTGAAGCCCTTGTTATCTTACAAAGGGAGAATGTTTTCTTGACTTTTGGCTTAAAAAATATTTCCTGAAATTGTGGGTTTGGGCTTAGCAATCCTGGCCTGAGGTGGTCAATCAGAATAGCTGTTATTGCAGTTGAGTCTGCGGTCAAATATCTTTTTGTTTTGAAAGGCATGGAAACGAGGCGAAAGGGTCAATACAATGCAGAATTGTCCCTTTTGCCTCGTTTGTGTGTCAAGCCGCTGATAACTGCAATGACAGGTATTGCTTTTTTTAAACTGTAGTAAGTTTATACATTCATAAGAATATTATTTACGTGTAGTGTAGTTTTTTTCTATTTTCAATATATATATGTAACAGTATGCAAGTTTATATATGTACTCAGAACTGTTCTTAGTGTTTGTGTACTGCTTGACTGTAACATGTCTTTTGTTTACTTGTCCATTTAGATTAACCATTTTCCAGGCTCTGGATATATAACAAACAAAGTTAGCCTGGCTGTGAACCATTTTCAATTTATTCCTCCAGCATTTGTGATTCCAAAGGACACTCAGAAGTTTTTAGAAGAAGTAAGTCAACTGATATGAATGTCAAATTTACATTTTATGTGTGAATTCCATTGATTGCATTCTTGAAGTTCCATTTATTTAGTGTGTTTCCAGTTAGATTTCTTGAGACATTATCTTGATAATTTACAGGTGAAAAATCACCCTCAAAAATTGTGGGTGGAAAAGAGTAATAATCATAGAGGAATACACATCAAATTGCCAAAAGGTATGTGGCAATATTTATTAACTTCCTGATCATAATGTTTTAAAAGTTTGTTCCAGTTCAGCCGGAACAGTCTAACATTGTCCAAGTTAGCAATTGTATCTTTCTCCTGATTCTTTTTAGCTTTGCACACTTCTTACGTACAGTGTGCTAATTACATGTATGTACCTTGAAATTAAAGTACAGCAAGTGAAAAAGTCAGAAATTAAAATTGGTTTTCTTGACAAAAGGTTAGCTGTAACTCAGTATGCTTGACTAAGTGTATACATATGGCATTCATGTGTGAACTTTATTTATAATGCTGCAAGTATCAGTACAAATACCAATACTCATCAACAATAACTCTGATTTCTGTCAGAATTACATCTACAGTAGCCGATTGTACAACCTAAGAACACTGACCAAAATGCCAGATTTGTATTTAATTCTTGGTGAAGTCACCGTGGTTGTTTTAATTAGAAGGAAGAGGAAGATATTAATAACTGCACACAAATGAGGCAGTCAACAATATTTTTTTATACCTTGTTCGCTCATATTTGTGTGCTTC